ACTCTACAGTTAATAAAGTTACTATTTTACACTTTCAACCTTTTTCTTGTCTTCATCATAGGATTGATCATGATAACCTACTACACAAGTGAATCGTGATAATAAATTGTTTAGTTTGTTAATCGTTAATTTCTCTCAGGAAAGGCCTTTGAAATAATTGTGATATTAAGTTTATTAGTTTTGTTAGCTTGGTTTGAAACGATTCTAGATCTAACAGTTTGGTGATTCCTGCCAGGAGAAAGACTTTTAAAAGTTAAAATTGTGAATAAATTTAGATTTATATTACCAACTTCAAGAAGCACATATTGAATAATATAACAAAAGATAAACGATTTTATCAACTGACTATACCTGTCTAAGCTGCCATCCGATACCAGAAGATATCTCTAGAAATTTTAGAAATTTTTGGAATTGAATTAGCGTAGAATTTGGAGCTATCATATTCACAGGAAAAATTCTGTCATTATTTGATCAACTATTAGATAAGCTTGCTACTCTAATCTTTCTTGAGCAACTGCAAATTGATACAACTACAGTAGCTTATCGAAAACCATTACAAATTAGAGTCAAAAAATTATTATATAGTTTAACTTTTATTAACTCTAAAATACTTGGACCAGATTCAGAATTTGTTATTTTAAGCGTAATTAAAGCAGCAAAAGAATCAAGCTTTTTCAAAGAATCCAGTTAAAACCCAATTTGACCCAATAGTACTATTAGAAATAAGCCCTATTCTGAATGAAAATGCTAAGAATTATGAAACTATTGACTTTGCTGGTCTCTATTCTCTCTTAGAAAAAGTAAAAGCAGGGGAAGATAAAAGTAACAATCAACAAAGTGGATCAAAACCACCTAAACAACCACCTAAACAACCATCTAAATAAACACCACATAGCAGCTCTCAAGATAAATGGAGAGGTGATGATGAAGAGTATGGAATTGGAAATAATGAAGCATTAGGTGATAATGGTATTGCAGTAATTATTAGACAAATGAGTGATTCTTTTAAGGGAATTGCTAAAAAAATTAGAGATGCTTGACCACAGGCATACCTTAGGGAAACTAATATTATACAAGTACAACCATTCTGGGGAAATGATAGCGAAGACCCAGAGGAATAGCTTAAACACTTTGAAACAGCTACAACAGTGAATAATTAGACATTGAAAGAAAACGTAGTATTGTCGCAGAATATTTAAGAGGACCAGTGGCATTATGGTATGATAATATAGTAAATACTGTTCGTTATTAGAGTGTACAAGGACAAGATAATGTAAGTTTTGTCCTTATGTTTAGAGCTCATTTCACCACAGCTAGGTAAAAGAATAAATGGCATTATGAGCTATCTAATATCAAACAAATGACAAATGAAAGCGTAGATACTTACAGTACTAGATTCAACAATCTTAAAAGATTGGTTGACCCAGGTGATTATTTACCAAATGATTACGAAATTAGGTTATTTTTAAATGGATTAAAACCTAACATTATAGCAAAAGTCATAATGGCAGATCCTGCTAATCTTAGAGCAGCTGTGAATGAAGCCAAAGCAACTGAAGCGGAAATATATTACATGAAAGAATCCCCATAAGTCACTAATAATGATGCAATTAAAGTTTTGACAAAGCAAATAGAACAACTCTCCCTTAATTATGCGAATATTGTCAATGTGTCAGCAGCACAAAATGGGACTCCAAGGACTGCAAATATCCAACCTAGAAATACAAATGTTACAAAGAATAATAATGATAGAAAACCTTTTAACAAAAGCCAAGTAATTTGTTGGCGATGTGAGAAAAAAGATCATTATTCTAGGGAATGCTTATCTGAAAAATCTTTCAAAATGAAACTAAGAAATGTTAATCTAATTGAAGTTTTTACTGATGATGAAGAAAAAGAGGAAACATCTGAAGTATATGTAAGAGAAAGATCTCGACCATATACTACTAATAGAAAGAATGCAAGAACATGACAAAGAGAAATGACTAGAACTTCTGAGTCAAATAAAAAAATAAATCCTAAAACCCGTATCATTAATCCAATTGAAATGGAAGTAGAATCCACTCCTAAACAAAAACCAGTTAAAAGAGCACGAAATCCTTTCAGAATTGATAATCTTGCACCATATAATATAGCTGATGATATCCTATCAAAGCAATCTTCTGCGATCCTGAAACAATGGTTACAAATACCAGCCTAAAAGAGGAATTTAGCAAATGCCTTAAGATGTCATCTTATATCAACACCTAGCGTTAATTCTTTAGAATTCATAGATGATGAACCAGGAAAGAAAACAACTTCCTGCAAAGCATGTATTAGGATTAAGAATAACCCCATCGAAGCTATAATTGATACAGGAGCAGCTGTCAGCATTATTACCAACAAGTTAGCTAAAATTTGGAACTTAATATTGATAAACTTCTAAATTAATTGTGATCACAGCCAATAGAAGTCATGTAAGAGCATTAGGACAAATTACTGAAGCAAGAATAATTATACAACACGTATCAGTTCCAGTAAAACTTTAAGTAATTGAATTGCCATAGGATACATTGTTATTAGAAGTAGATTGGTGTAGAAAAACTAAAATGAATCTTGACTTTAGTACACAAACTGCTTCTATTTTATATGTTACTAAATGAGCTACTTTTAACATCCTTTTTGAAGAGGGAATGGTAAATGAAAGAAAAAACTTAGATCAAGTCTTAGATGAATATGAGGAAGAAGACTTGAATGAATATGATGTGTTTCTAAGCGAAGTTAAAAATAATGCTCAACCAAAATATGTAATGAATGTCATGTATGACCATCAGGATATATCATATCACAAAGAATTAATTCACGAAAAGAAATGTATAAAATATGGCAAGTGCCAGGTGGAAAAGTGGAATCTAATAAAATGTCACTTCAAGCAGTATTAAGAAAAACATATGAGAAAACAGGTATTCCAATTAAATCTGAAGATGTAGAATATCTCTTTAATGATGACTTTTATGATTGTGATGTATATATTACTAAAATCGCATCAAATTGGACCTTTGAACAAACTGAACCAGAAAAGCAAGGAAAATGGTAGCCATTTTGTTTTGAAGAATATGCAGATATAGCAGAACAAGGTGAAACAACTCCCACTCATACTAAATATGCAGACAGAATCTTGGAAGAAATTCGTATAAGGGTATATAAAAATAAATACCCAAGTGTGTATCTAGCTGACTTGCTAAAGGAGGAACAAGAAAAACCTAAATTACAAGTTGGACCATTGAATGTCCATCAACAAAACACATTTCAATAAACCCTCGAAGAAAATAGTGATTTATATGCTAGAAGTCAAACAGATACAGGATGAACTGCTATTATCAAACATTCCATAATTTTAGAAAAAGATATACCCACGGCATATAGATGTAGTCCAGATAATCAACAATTTCTGCGTCAAGAAATTGAAGACATGGAAAACAAAAGTATAGTTAGAAAATTAAAAAGTCCATAGACCTTACCAATAGTAATTGTAGCAAAGAAAACTGGAGACAAAAGAAAATGTGTTGATTATAGGAAACTGAATGCAATCACGAAAAAGGATGCTTACTCTTTACCTAGAATTGATGATATGTTGGAATCATTTTGAACAGCAAATTGGTTTACTACATTAGACTTAGCTAGTGGTTACTAGCAGGTTGAAATGGAAGAAAAGGATAAGGAAAAGACTGCCTTTATCACCAATTTTGGATTATATGAATTTAACGTAATGCCTTTTGGGTTATATAATGCTTCAGGAACTTTTCAAAGACTAATGAACTATGTTTTATAACCATATGTAACTAAATTTGTCTAAGTGTATTTAGACGATATCATAATTTATTCAAGATCTTTTGAACAACATATTGATCATATTAGACAAGTCTTTCAAGTATTGAGAGAAGCCAATTTGAGGATTAAACTGAAGAAATGTAGTTTTTGTATGCCTAACCTAACATTTTTAGGACATATAGTTGGAAGAGATGGTATTCAACCAGATCCAGCAAAAATTGAAAAGGTAAAAGACTTACCAATACCAAAAGATGTATCTTAAGTTCGATCAGCTTTAGGATTATTCTCCTATTATAAAAAGTTTATTAAAGACTTCTCACAAATAGCAAAGCCTATAAATATCTTGCTAAAGAAGAATCAGATATTTGAATAGACTGAAAAGTAACAAAATGCATTCAACCATTTAAAAAATTATTTGATTAATGCACCAATTTTACAATATCCAAATTTTGATGAAATTTTCTATCTATATACCGATGCATCAAATATAGGTCTAGGAGCTGTATTAGCACAAAAAGATAAAGAGAGAAGAGAACATCCTATCGCATATGCTAGTAGAAGTTTAACTCTAGCAGAAAAGAATTATTCAGTTACAGATCAAGAATGTTTAGCGATAGTATAGGCTATTCAACATTTTCATCATTATTAATGTACATCTAGATTTGAATTAATTACAGATCATTCAACACTAAAATGGTTACAAACCTCTAAAATACCAAAAGAATGATGTGCTAGATAGATGATGGAGTTACAGCCTTATAATTATACTATTCAGCATAGGCTAGGAAAACACAATGCGAATGCTGATACCTTATCAAGAATTAATGAAGAACAATTTGAAAATGAAGATGTTCGTGAGATTTTTATGGTGTCCATATGTGATGAAGAACCTGAAATTGAATGGCATTCCTCGATAAAAGAAAGTTCAATACCTGATTCTGAAGAATTATGGTTCGAGGAACAATTGTATCAACAATTTGCAAATGAACCATTAATTACTGCTGTTGGATATCAATCACTTAAAGAAGAATTGGAAGATATTTATCGTAAATTTATTAAAATTAAATAAGTTATCACTGGACAACCTATTACAAAAGGAGGATCCTAATGTAATTTTAATTGTGATACTGAGAACCATCATATTCATACCTATTGCAAAGCCTGCAAAAAGAATTTACCCTATGGAACAGTTATTCATAATTATGTTATAGGATACGGATTAGGACAAATACAACCTGACATGAACCCTAATTATCTTTGTAATGATGTGTTTTAGGAAGAACCATTAGCGGTACAATAATAAAATAATGATATTTTACTAGCAAATTTGCTTGAAGAACTTCTTGACGAAGTTCCATTGTATTAAAAATTGATTTTATTAGGATAATAATTAGAGTGAAAGCGTAAGTATCTACAGTGTGATAGACAGCTCTATAACAGAATGGATGACATATATTATAATCATATTTCTAATTATTTAAGAACAGAATCATTATCACAAAACTTAACAATAATAGAAAAACAAAGAATTAAATAACAATCAAAGAATTACATTATTAAATTTGATATTTTATATAAAGTAAAAACTATTACTCCTGAATGATTATTAAGAGTAATAAGAAATAATGAATTAGATGCTTTATTATATATGACATATAATGATCCTTTAGGAAGACATTTATCAACAAATAGTGTATTTGACAAGATCAGAACACAGTATTATTGGCCTCAAATGTATGAAAGTATACGAGAATATGTACAAAAATGTGATTCTTGTCAAAGGAGAGGGAAATACAAACGAACTGAACCTTTACACCAAATAGATGTAGGAAACCCATTTTATAGGATAGGAATCGATATTGTAGGACCTTTACCTATTATAGAAAGGAAAAACAGATATATCATAACAGCAATGGATTACATGACTAAATGGCCTGAAGCTAGAGCCTTATCAGAAACTACTGCAAAACAAGTTGCTAATTTTATTTATGAAGATATCATATGTCGACATAGATGTTCACAAAAGATCTTATCTGATAGAGGGACCCATTTTAATAATCAATTGATTGCAAGATTGATGGAAAAATTTCAGATTAAACATAATTTTTCAACTCCTTATCACCCACAAACAAATGGTCTTGTGAAATGATTTAATAGAACTTTAAGTGAATCTTTGGCAAAATTGATAATACATGATAAGAATAGGATCTTTATATTGTACCAGTATTATTTGCTTATCGTACAAGTGACACTCAACTACAAAAATAGCATCTTTTTATTTATCATATGAAAGATCAGCAAAATTACCTACTGATGATCCTTTAAATAAGCAACCACATGGTAATATAAATACCAGAATTAAGGAATTGATTGACGATCTACCAGTCATAAGATCTAAGGCTAAATTGCAAATCACAAATAGCCAACAAAAACAGAAAAATCAGCATGATAAGAAAATCAAAATGAGATCTTAATTTGAAATAGGAGATAAAGTCTTATACTACAATACAACAAATGAAACAAAGAGATCTGGAAAATTAGATCCAAAATGGAAAGGATCTTACTATATCCATGAGATTTTGATAAATGGATCATATAAGTTACGCAAGATGGAAGGACGAGTTTTGTGTATACTAGTAAATGTACAGCTATTAAAAGCTTATCATGAAGATTAAATTAGTTATTTTATTTTTTTTATATATATATCTTTTCGATACATGAAAATATAAAGTAAATCTTTTACAATGTCTGAAATTATTAATTCTCACTGACTACAACCTTTATATACAGATTTAGAACGAGATTCTTCTCTTGAAATTCCTTTAAGAGCACCCTTTAATAATGATATGACTTTACAACAAAAAGTTCAAAGTACATATTGAGCATTACTAAGAGCATGTAGGATAAGGGATTATGTACTTATCCTTATAAATGCTTATTACTTAAGACAATTCTTAGAAACTGAATTGACCAATCCTTCTGAAAGAATAATGTTGCAAAATATGGTAACTATTTACTATCGGCTAGGAGTTACCAGGATTTATTATTTATTTGAGTTTCTAAAAGTAGAACAAATTCAACAGACTCGAATTATTAATTTTTCAACTATACGACAACTCGAAGCTTTTGAGTTTAGAGCTTTAGTTAATTATGCTTACTAAATTTCTATCAGAAATGAGAAGGAAACTGATGAATTTCTCTCAAAGTTCGAAAATTAGGAGGGAAGAATTGTTAGCCACAGTTTATACTGTACCTTAAAATAATCGTCAACTACGTCAAATATCATATATGTTAAACATGTAATACATGTATCGTTTAGTCAACTTTATATTATATGTATTGAATAGTTTACCTTTTAATATAAATATTATATAGTCTTATTTTCATTAC